CCTTGCTTAGTAAACAAACTATATTTTGTATTGAAACTTTGACTTCCTACATTATCTACGTGTTTCTTGCGTGAACGCAATCCTCTTAAACTGTTTTGTTTTTTCTTCTGTATTCTGTCTCTACTTATAAATATCATCTATATTTTTGAGGACCCCACGATCGATGTATCGATCATTATGTCTCTGTTTCGATCTTATGTACCAGTCGCCCTGTGCCCAATAATTTCAGCTGTTCAGTTTTAATGACAAAATGGTCATTGTTGTCGCTCAACATTTTTTTTTCTTCAAAAATGTCGTGTGCCACGTGACAATTTTCACACAAAAGTTTTTTTTTTAAAAAGTGTGTGTGACTGTGCGGAGGGATATTTGACAGGTGCGTGATACTGCATACAAAATGTCAAGTTATGCTTGTAATTGATATTTTGCAAAATATGATTTCAAGCAATTGTAGTTGAGCGTTAAATAGAACAGGATATAAAGAAAAAATCAAAGAATATTTCACGAGGCACTCGTGAACGAAAAGTAAAAAAAAGGGCTTTGTGAGTTAAAGGACAACTGATAGGTAGGTGAGACTGTACGAAAGGATATCTGGTATGTGGCTGATACTGTATGAAAGGATAAGTGAAATGTGCGTGAAACTCTATGAAAGGGTAACTTATATATGCGTAAGATTGCATTAAAGTATAATTGATGGGTGCGTAAGATTGCATTAAGTTGTACTTGATAGCTGCGTTCAGTGGCGTAGCGAGGGTGTTTGGCGCCCGGGGACAAGATTCGCGCCCGGGGACAAGATCTATTTCAGCGCCCCTTTTTCTTTTTTTCAACTCTCAAACCCATTATTTTCATCAGTAAAATAATATGAAAGCACATTTTGGCGCCCCTAACTAGCTGGCGCCCGGTGACATCTGTCCCCCCCCCTGCCTCCACCACGCTACGCCTCTGGCTGCGTTAGATGGTATTTAAGTTTAATTTTTAGGTGTGCAAGATTGCATTAAAATATAATTGGCAGGTGCTTAAGATTGCATTAAAGTATAATTAAAATGTGCGTTAGAGGGCATTAAACTAAAAAATTGTAATCTGCGTAAAATTGCATTAAATATAATTGATATGCGCATAAGATTCATCTAAGTATATATGAAACTCAACGTGCGTTATGAATAAAACAAAGGAAAGATGTTAAAAATAATAATAATTGGAACGTACAAACATTTCATTTCTAGGCCGACTCTTCTCAATCATCTTGCATTTAACTTTTCTTTTTTCAAGACTACAAAAGAAATATATATTTCATTTCGTCCTTACTTTTCTGAGTTAACTTTGATCGCTTGGTTCTATATGTTTAGCTCAGATGTCAATAACTTTAAAAGACAAAACAAAAGCAAAAAAAATTATAATTGATATTTTATTTTTTACTGTGGTTCGTGCTCTGATGACATTAAACACACTGCAGGTTTGTTTTTCTGTTTGTTTAATGTCGTTGTTGGTTTGTTTGTACATTATAAAACGAGTCGTGTGAAATGAATAAACAAAATCTGACAATTAAAACGCCGAGGATTTTGGTGGTGTTATCATTCAACAACAATAAACCACAGCTACAAGGATGTCATGGCAATGAATGTCCTAGAAATTTAGTTATGCCTTAGTTGTTGTTTTTTTCCTTATCATTTAATTTAATGATTTTTTGCATATTTTACTGCTACAATATTCATTTAATGTGAGGATGGTTTTTGTGTTTGTGTGTGTGAGGGGGGGAGGAGGGGGAATTCGGTGGGGGTGGGGAAATCAACTGCTCTGTGGGGGATTCAACTGCTCTGGAACAAGCTTGTGAATGTCCAATGAAATATTTGTATATATCGAAGGATGTAGAATAAACGACTTTATTTATTGACTTTTTTTTAATCCCTTCTTAAGCTTTCATAATTTCTGATAATCAACAACCCGTTCCAACACATCGAAACTCATCACATCACAATACATCAGAACACACCACAAGCCATCAAAACACATTCCATCACAGCCCATCATACGCTATCACGTCACAACGCATCACAATATAACACATGACATCACAATACATCACAACACAATACAACACAACACATCACAATACACCACAAGCTATCACAACACATTGAATCACAGCCCATCATACGCTGTCACGTCACAACGCATCACAATATAACACAACCCATCACATCACAATACATCACAACACAATATATCACAACAAATCACATCACAGTCCACCAGGAGACATCGGAAGACATCACAATACATACCAACACTTTGCATAAACAACACATGACAAATCACCCCGATGCACCACAACACATTACAACACAACACATTACAACACAACACATCACAACACAACACAACACAACACAACACATCAAAACACAACATATCACAACACAACACATCAAAACACAACACATCACAACACATCACAACACAACACATCCCAACACAACACATCACAACACAACACAACACATCACATCACAACACAACACATCACATAATAACACATCACAACACATCACAACACAACACATCACAACACAACACATCACAACACATCACAACACAACACATCACAACACAACACATCACAACACATCACAACACATCACAACACAACACATCACAACACATCACAACACAACACAACAAATCACAACACATCACAACACATCACAACACAAATAACACATCACGAAATATCACATCACAACACAACACATCACAACACAACACATCACGAAACAACACATCACAACACATCACGTGCCAGACGCCCTTATTTACTAAACTCTCAATGTGGCGATAATAAAACAACATATTATTTTAACGACTTCAGTTTTTCATATTTACCGAAAAAAAGTAGTATTAACACAGATGCCTACTGTATGGTTCAAATGGACAAGCTACAATTAATTGGTCTTTATGAGAGAAGTAAATGAAATGCTAAATAATAAGTTGATCATAAGTTGTTCTCAAAATCATAGTATTATTCAATTAATCAAAATTTACTTCCGTTGGCAAAATTATAATTTCTATCCAATTTTATATATATATATATATATATATATATAAAATTGTATAATTTTAGTCCATAATTCTCTAGACCGTCATTGTCTGTTGAAGCAGTGGCGTAGCTAGGGTGGTGCAGGGGTTCGGACGGCACCGGGTGACACCATCACATGGAGTGACACCAAATGGAAAAATTGTGTATTTACCGTGCACACACTGCTCGCTCTACCCGAATGTCATAAAAATAATAACTGATCCCACGTTAAATGTCCACAGATATAACCAATCCAAATGCGTGCTGCATTACAAGTTCAAGGTTGATTACGTTTGAAAAGAGGTGAGCCTGTACTTGGGTGAGATTAACACCACATTGACCATGATTCAAGTGTTGGGGGTTTACACCAGTAGTCTACCAACCCCGGGTGACAGCAACTCTAGCTCCACCACTGTATTAAAGTATTGTCACTAAAACATTCCTAATTGAACGGAGATGGATTTGAAATGGATTAAAATGGTTAGTTTCATTTCAGATAAGGTTCTTTGCCCACTATAAGAAATAAAATGGTGTAGACACACTGGATGATAACAGATAGTTTTTTTTTTATTCATATGAAAATTAAATATTTAAATTTTGAAGGAAAACACACTAAATTATGAGAGTAAATGGAAAGAGACTCAAAACAATGTTGGAGGAAACACTTCCATGGAGTTTTATTTAATTTTTTTATTTTTTATTTATTTATTTTTTTTTTTTGATTTCCAAAGGTTTATTCACAGTATAAAATCAATTTCTATTTATTTATGTTCAAACGTTTCTAAAACTTTGTCAACAGTTATTTTTCTTCTATTGACCATTGGCCGATACAACAATTGTCAGAGAAACCAGAGGGGGAAAAAAAAAGTTTAAAATGTTTATTTTTTTCCAATAATTTCTTTTTAAAAAGATATCAATCACAATTGTAGAGAATTACATTTTTATCCGCGACAAGTTCTACAGAGGTAGCCTATGTGCCAGCGCTATACTATCGTAACAAGAGTAACAAAGAGAAACATTTGGTCTAGACTCACAATTTGATTTGTTTGTTGTTTCGTTAGAGCTGTGATTAAGATTTCTCAGAGTTTAATGTACATCTAGTGCACCTTGCATGCAATTTATGGTGTACACAATATTACTGTTATAGAGCACATTGGTTATCAAGCTATTTAGATCTGTGTATGTGAATTGCTAAAATGGTGTCGAAGTTGTTCTTTTTATCACTATACGAACATAACATCTTTTTTCTTGGGCGCTTTGAATTTTTTGGATTATTAACTCAAACCAGGTTTTTAGATAATTTTAACAGTGGATCAACAGTATTATTTTAATAGTAATAAGCCAAATAATTTTATAGGTTTCCTTGTATTAAAAATTGCCGGAGATACACTAAACCTGTTCGGAGTATAATTGTATAATTTTAGTGCCATTCTTCCCACCGTTCATCCAAAAGAGTTAAAATATAAAAGTTATTTGAAAGATTTCAGCGGATAGTGAAATTTTTCAATGTGCAGCTCATACATAAGATAACATGGAACGAGTTGTTGTTTTTTTTTGAAATCCAACTTTTCGATAAATCCCAACAAATTTAAGCCTAAATGGCTCAATGTACTCTCTAAGCGAACCCTTTGCCACGGTAGATAATTTTGTGTTTGTGGACAAAACCTTTTTTGATTAAAAGTTCTGTATTTTACTATGGAGTTTTTAAGAAGTTTATTTTTATTTTATTTTATTTTTGAGAAAAATACAATTTATATTCTTTTTGAAAATCAATTTCCTTCAAATAGTATTAATTTAAATCCAGCTATTGAAAATATATTTTCGAAAATAAAAAATTATTAATTCAGTATTGAATGAAAACTAATATATTAATATTTATTAACTTGATTATTCAAAATAAATATTTATTGTTTAAACTTTATATTGTTAAGCCACAGTTTCATTTATCTTTAAGCAATCAAAATGCTTCAAAAGGTTGTATGGCCTACGTTCTTATTCTGTCTCTAAAGGCACTGCACATGGATACAACGGTAGTGATGGTTGCAAGGCACTGCACATGGGTGTCGCGGTATTTCTTGTTGCACTACTGTCTGTCATCCCTGTATCAATAACTAGACCAACGATAATTTGTCGTTAAAAATCGTTAGATTTATGTCGATCAAAAATCGATAAAGCGTTTAAAAAATGACAGTAACTTCAACCAGCTTCACACAGTTACAATTCCCATATCAATTTAAGAAATTACAAAAGAATCCGCCAAGAAGTTCACTTCCTGTCATAGGTCGTAAATGCTTGATTTCCAGAAAAGGGCGCTATTGTCAGAGAGAAGTTTTCTTTCGAGATTAGGTTTTGAAGAAATATACCTGGTGCACAAGGACAATAACAAATGAATAAAATTCAGGATTCTTCTACAGCGACCGTTAACTTTATCCACACGACCGTTGTTTCTATAAGCATTCCTAGTACTTCTTATACTCAAGCTGTCGAAATGTATACGTTTGATTTTGTCAGCAGCTATTTCTATTCTGTTATTGACTCTGACTTCTTGGTCAAGTACTACATAAACGTGTAAGTTCAGACGTGCAAAAGTTCCTAAAATTATCCAGAATAAAAGACGATTCAAAACTTTATAGAGATCAGCAGAGAGAATCGCATGTTGCACTTCTAAATAACAATGCCTTGATTTAAATTCCACCAAACTTTCTATCAGTTCACTACTCCGTCGATTCATTATTTCTGCGTTTTCTGAGAAATCTACGCGATGCAAGCTATTATTCCAGTTGGCATTGGACTCAGAGCCCGATAAGACGTGATACCTTACGTCATCATCATCATCAGAACACCCGCCCAGTCCACCCAGTCCAGGGAGCACGTTGTCCATTCTGTGGTGCCCGCGGTGCGCGGGCGTCCTGGTGCAGCAGCAGTTGCTGTTGTTGTTGTTGTTGTTGGCGCAGACCGACCAGCCTTGGCGGCCGGTGTTGTCAAACCCCGTGTCGGCCGTCATCATGAGAGTCTTGTGGCACTTGTCGACAACGGCTTTAAAGTTGTTGGCGTCCTCACAGTTTTTAAATGAGATCAGGTATTCGCTAATTTCCGTTCCGCTGAAAAGACAAAGCGATCAAGAAATACATTTTTTGCTGCATAATTTATCAGAAAATAATTGGATTCTTCAAAAAACCTTGTATTCCATTTTATTTTAATTTTACATTTAGCTGTATCTCATTTATTGATTTTTGAATTGTTAACTAATTTTGTAAAAGTTTTTATTTAAGATCATATCGGGAAAAATTGGCGAGAAAAATTACAAGAAGACCTTTTAGAAAGTGGAAAACAGCCAACAAAACTTACTTAAAATTGGCAACACGCAGAAAAAATATGAAATTATTCTTGTTCTTGTTGCTAAGAATATTTAATAGCTTTTTGATAAAGTCTCAGGATAATATGCATTTGTTGCCCTCTCTAATTTTTTTCAATGAAAATGTTTATATAGATAGATAGATGGATGTGATTTCGCTTTCGTGTCCTGTGGAAAAATACTAATAGGTTCTCTCAAAAAGACACGACTTCACCAGGAAATCATGTGAGACTAAGCAGTGGGTGGATGCCACAGTGTCCGGTCCGAACTTGTGTTTCAAACGTGATGTCTAATTCTGAATCGCATTGCAACGGACAAAAGTACTGTTCAGTTCCAACACTACCCTACAGTAAATCCAAACTAGTCTCTACAACTCTAATACTACTATATATAAGCTGTGAAAATAATTTACTTATAAAACCTGATTTTAGAGAGACGCATTTGAACGCTTGCGCCAGTTTCCTTTTTAAAATTTAATCTAATCCAAATGTAAAAATGCTTGTATAGTCTCACTCACTGTTTAACAAATGATCCTCTCTGTCACTAATAAAAGAGCATTTTAAAAAAAAAGATCTAAAACTATTACACAAAATTTATCCCACATCTAGTGACCCCCAGCACATCTGTGACCCTGACACTTCTCTTAACCTCCGTTTCACTAGTGAACCCCCACCATTAGTGATCCAAGCACGACATCGGACAAAGACTCGATGAGTGACCCACACCGAACTTGAAACCCACCGTCCCCCCCCCCCGCCCCACGCCTTGTCATCCCTACACGACAGTTGACACCGTCAAAATATGTGATTCACATCTGACGCGAAACCTGAAACCCCCCCGCCCCCCCCCCCGCCCCACGCCTTGTCATCCCTACACGACAGTTGACACCGTCAAAATATGTGATTCACATCTGACGCGAGCTCCCCCACCCCCACCCCCACTGGTCGTGACCCTTCACTCTAAAACGAACCCATGCACTCACCCGTCGCTGCTCTGGACCACCTTGTAGATGAAGCCGTACTTCGTCTTTGGCGCTCGCTCGAAGAACGTGTCCCTCCTGAGATAGTACTGCGTGATGCAGCATTTGCTCTCGAACCCGATGACGAACCCCACGCCGTTGGCGCATTGGATGACCTTGCAGTAGCCTTGTTGCATTTCAAGCCATGTCTGGAAACAAGAAAACAAATGGTCGGTCCAGGAAACGAGCAGACTTATTCTTTTCTTTTCTTTTTTAAGCTACAGCGAGATTGAATGGGGGTGGGGGGGGCGAGGAGACATTCTCCCCGTGCTTAAAAGCACATTAAAAGGGACCAAACTTAGACACACCTCACCTGTCTAAGCCTCTGGTGTTTATGCTTTAAATTTGATAGTGATTGATTGTATTCCACGACCAACTAAAGTAAGAACAACACTTTGATATCGTTATTTTTGTATATTTCATTTAAATTGAGTGTTGCATTTTTCTAATCAATTGTTGTTTTTGTTTTCTGTGAGACACTTTTAAGACTTTTTAAGCAAAATGATTTTTTATTGATTTTTGTTTTACAAGCCAGCTTTAATTTCTGTAAATCACCAATATTCAACGTCACCCTCGCGTTATATATATTTTAAATGGCAGTACACTTTTTCTGATCTGTCAATTCAGATAATGAAATAATAAAACATCATATTGCATTCGCCAGTTAAACAATTTATGCATGGTGTTGAGACCCGCTGGTCCTCACCTTTGTGAGACCCGCTGGCTAAAACTCTCTCCATCGCTACCCCACGTGCATTACGCAATGAGGCTGGACCTTACACTAATAACAATGACTCAAGGAAATATGGAAATTAACCTGGTCACCTTGACCATAACCTGCGTCTGGCCACAGCGTCAGACGCAACGCTTGCATGCGACGCTTGAATGTGACGCTTGAATGTGACGCTTGAATGTGACGCTTGAATGTGACGCTTGAATGTGACGCTTGAATGTTACCCTTGAATGTGACGCTTGAATGTGACGCTTGAATGTGACGCTTGAATGTTACCCTTGAATGTGACGCTTGAATGTGACGCTTGAATGTGACGCTTGAATGTGACGCTTGAATGTGACGCTTGAATGTGACGCTTGAATGTGACGCTTGAATGTGACGCTTGAATGTGACGCTTGAATGTGACGCTTGAATGTGACCCTTGAATGTGACGCTTGAAAGTTACGCTTGAATGTGACGCTTGAATGTGACGCTTGAATGTGACCCTTGAATGCGACGCTTGAATGTGACGCTTGAATGTGACGCTTGAATGTGACGCTTGAATGTGACGCTTGAATGTGACGCTTGAATTACTTGAATACGGTACAGGACGCCAAACTTAGCGTGTATTTTAAGGGCCCTAATCATATATATACAAGAGGAGAGAGACGAAGAGGAAGAAAAAGAAAAAGATGGGAGGATAACATCAAAGAGTGGACAGGACTAAAACTGAGCGATGCTGTGCGTAGTGCAGAAGACAGAGGCGAATGGAGGAGGGTAGTTCACATGTCATCTGTGGCGCCCCAACAGTCCAAGGACTAAGGGACATGATGATGATGATGAATCATATATCGCCCTCTTTCACCAGATGTCTGTTAGTAGAGCCTGGCTGGCATAATTAGTTGATGAAGTTTTGATTGTGTTGGGTTAGTATTGTTAATGTTCATATTCATGTGTACCGGTATGTAGAATTGTAGTTGTAGTTTTATTAGAAAATGTTAGGACTATAGTTACTGTTAGAGTATGGTTGATTATTAATAATGTAATGTGATTTTAATTTTTTTACCTATGTCTTATGCGTTGTATTAGTTATTCTCATTTCAAACCAGTAAGTAATAGTTCAGTAAGTAATAGTTCAGTAATATAACAGTTGAGTTTGTAACAGTTAGTCTAGTCTGAGTTAGTACCAGTACAGTTTGAGTTAGCTTGAGCTAGTACCATAAGTACAGTTGACTTTAGTCTCAGTATAGTCAGCTAATTTAGAGTCAGTACAGTGGAGTTGAGTACATTGCAGTACAGTAGAACTTAGTACAGACGGTATCGTATACCGCAGAGTATAGACCACTCGGTACAGTTGAGTCATTAGGCCCACTAGAGTAGCAGAGACCCCGCCAGAAGCTGAGTGTGGGTTCGAGCCTACACCTATCACGTCGCAGTGCGAGTAACCAGACACATGTTACGTTGCAGTGACCAGAGAGGGAGGCCACAATCCAAAAGACTGCAGCGTGGGCTCTGTTGTGTTTGGAATCTGGACCGCCTACAGAGGACCTGATCGCCAGTCGGAACATAACACTTAATAATATTGGGCAGTATATCTCGTTACCCAAGGACTAAAGAAATACGTGTACAGTATATGTAATGTGTATGTAGATAATTCTGTTTGTGATATTTATTTGTGGGCTGAACCACCTTTGTTTTATTAGTATAGTTATAGTATTAATAGAAGTGAGAGCTAGTGAGAGTGTCATTGAATGTTAGAGTGAGTGTGGAGTGAGATTAATTTTCAGTACTTAATTAGGAAATATATAGTCATGCCCTAGACATAGCCCTAGTGGCCGTACTAATCTAAAGTAAAAGAAGGAACCTTTGTTTTAAACATCAACACTAATATTTAACTCATGGCGTTGTTATAAATGTTAGCAATGTTAGCAATGTTAGCAATGTTTGCAATGTTAGCAATGTTAGCAATGCTAGCAATGCTAGCAATGCTAGCAATGCTAGCAATGCTAGCAATGTTAGCAATGTTAGCAATGTTAGCAATGTTAGCAATGTTAGCAATGTTAGCAATGCTAGCAATGCTAGCAATGCTAGAAATGCTAGCAATGTTAGCAATGTTAGCAATGTTAGCAATGTTAGCAATGCTAGCAATGCTAGCACTGCTAGCAATGCTAGCAATGTTAGCAATGTTAGCAATGTTAGCAATGTTAGCAATGTTAGCAATGTTAGCAATGCTAGCAATGCTAGCAATGCTAGCAATGCTAGAAATGCTAGCAATGTTAGCAATGTTAGCAATGCTAGTACTGCTAGCAATGCTAGCAATGTTAGCAATGTTAGCAATGTTAGCAATGTTAGCAATGCTAGCAATGCTAGCAATGCTAGCAATGCTAGCAATGCTAGCAATGCTAGCAATGTTAGCAATGTTAGCAATGTTAGCAATGTTAGCAATGTTAGCAATGTTAGCAATGTTAGCAATGTTAGCAATGTTAGCAATGTTAGCAATGTTAGCAATATTAGCAATGTTAGCAATGTTAGCAATGTTATCATTTTGGAAGGCACACGTTCAGAGCCCTTGACATAATTAAAAACTTGATGGAAAATCTCTTCTCCGCACTTGGCACAAGGCTCCAGTAAGCGTGTTTCCCAAAGTTAACACCAAAAGATATACAGTCACAGTCTAAAAGACCATAACAAGGGATCTACACTCACAGTCTAAAGGATCATACCAAAAGATTTACAGTCAAAGTCTAAAAGATCATAACAAGGGATATACATTCACAGTCTAAAAGATCATAATAAGGTATATACAGTCAGTCTAAAAGATCATATCAAGGGATATACACTCACAGTCTAAAAGATCATACCAAAAGATTTACAGTCACAGTCTAAAAGATCATAACAAGGGATATACACTCACAGTCTAAAAGATCATACCAAAAGATTTACAGTCACAGTCTAAAAGATCATAACAAGGGATATACAGTCACAGTCTAAAAGATCATAACAAGGGATATACAGTCACAGTCTAAAAGATCATAACAAGGGATATACACTCACAGTCTAAAAGATCATACCAAAAGATTTACAGTCACAGTCTAAAAGATCATACCAAAAGATTTACAGTCACAGTCTAAAAGATCATAACAAGGGATATACAGTCACAGTCTAAAAGATCATAATAAGGTATATACAGTCAGTCTAAAAGATCATATCAAGGGATATACACTCACAGTCTAAAAGATCATACCAAAAGATTTACAGTCACAGTCTAAAAGATCATAACAAGGGATATACACTCACAGTCTAAAAGATCATACCAAAAGATTTACAGTCACAGTCTAAAAGATCATAACAAGGGATATGCAGTCACAGTCTAAAAGATCATAACAAGGGATATACAGTCACAGTCTAAAGATCATAACAAGGGATATACACTCACAGTCTAAAAGATCATACCAAAAGATTTACAGTCACAGTCTAAAAGATCATACCAAAAGATTTACAGTCACAGTCTAAAAGATCATAGCAAAAGATATACTGTCACAGTCTAAAAGATCATACCAAAAGATATACAGTCACATTCTAAGAGCTCATACCAAAAGATTTACTGACACAATCTTGGCGGAATGAACCAAAATATACAGAGTCTGAAAGGTCATACAAAAAATATACAGACGCAACAAAAAAAAATCAGGGACAATGATATACAGACATACTCTGAAAATTCACACAAAAAGATATACAAACAAAGTCTGAAAGATCATCTTATGTAATAGATTGTGTGAGATATCCAAAATTATTGATTTCGATCACTTATCAACTCAGCATTGTTTATTTGTATTACTGCCATCTCCTAGCAATTACCCGCCAAACAATGGTGGTAGCGAAGTGTGAACTTGACATCAACTAAAGCTACTTGACAAACCATGGATTCGGGTGATGCACTTTAAAAGAAGCCCAATTGTTACTAAGCGTCTGGGGATCTAATGTTGCGCGCTTATTTAAGCATAGTGTTGCAGGTCTTACATACATACCTAATAGTGAATTTTGTTTTCGAGGTTATCGAATTGATGTTATTTATTTTTTACGAGGTTTCATTTAGTTTGCGCTCTGTCTGCGTGTTTCTCTGGGTAAATATTGTAGCTCAGTTGGCAACCTGTTCCCTTCGTCTGATGGAATTGAAAATTTGCATGGTTTCTCAATCCTGATGACAATACAATCTTACAAGATCTGTAGGTAAGCAGTGACCTCCACTGACCCTTGATAGTCCTCTGCGTGTCCTATCGTGCATCTCGTTTTTGACCTGCGCGCTGATCTCCAACTGAGCCTACTCACCCCTCCCCCCCCCCCACAACCCGATGACAATAAAATCCTTCATGATCAGTAGCTCTTCCTTCCATGTTTAGCACCAACGCAATTATTTTTGCAGACTTTATTTTTCCCTGCGCGCTTATCTCCAACTTAGCCTACTCACCCCTCCCCCCCCCCCCACAACCCGATGACAATAAAATCCTTCATGATCAGTAGCTCTTCCTTCCATGTTTAGCACCAACGCAATTATTTTTGCAGACTTTATTTATTGTAAGAAAATCCTGGTATGTCTCCCAAAAATGTATCTTGTACTCTTAAGTTCCTTTTTATAAAAGCATGTTTTTTTTAAAAAGTTTGTTCTTTTTAAAAAAATTAATACATAGCGTTGAATAATTACGTAGCTTTGTTTATAACAAACGGATAAAAAGTACCAGGTCTTTTTCCCCAAAACATAGAACAACTAACTTTGTCTTGTTGTTTTTTTCTCTAACTGATTTGCATGTGACTCTTACACCTGTCCCCTCCTTTCCTTACCCTACACCCCCAAAAAAAAAAAAACAGCATCATTCAATCACAAACATTGTTACATCTCGCTCAGACCATCCCTGATTAAATTTTGAAATTCCCAAACTGACTGCCAAGAGCAATCATCAAACGTAGACGTCCACCGTGAGAAAAACTCACCCGGTCCATGTCTAGCTTCGCCAAGCACGCCTTCGCGCAAAACAACGTCTTCTCATCGATGAGCTCGTAGGCGTACGGATCGAACAGCTCCCTGCAGCCGTCGTTCTCCTGACCGTCGGCCGCTTCCTCGGCGGGGTCAGGGGTGCAGGGGCAGACAGGGGCCGTGTTGTTCACGGCGGCGTCGTAATAGCGGGGCGACTCGCTGAAGGGCCCAATGGCGTTGGGGGGTGGCGGAACCGCCATGGTGACGGCGGATCTCTGCTGCAGCCTCTGTCTCGGCGAGGGGTAGCCCTGCTGCTGGAGGTTCAGGGACATCGGGTCGACCAGCGCTGCCGGGAACGGGGGTGGCCCCAGGGTTTGGCAGCTGAGATCCCCGGCAGTGGCTACCACCAGGTTGTCGCATTCGGAGAAGGCGCACTTGACGGTGTCAAGGACGATGCGAAAGCGGTGAGCCTGGTAGGGGTCGGTGAACACGATCTGAGCAACAAGGACCAATTTACCCCTGTTTGCGCCTGGCGAGGGAAACCGCAAGAAAGACGAAGAGATTGTAAGTTGGGAAAGAAATCATTTTCAAGTATTAGATCTAAACCAATTCCTCATACAATTAACATTATAGAATGGTCGAAGATTTTGGGTCATCCTTAAACCTATATTTTATGATTGAATAACATGTATAAAAATATGCATTGTGGTTAAGAACTCTTCAATTTCCTTTACTGTATCCCCAAGCACGTTACTCTTTTAATAAGCAATATAAAATTATTAAAAGGGGCCTTTATTATAATTATTGTGTGAGGTTTATTTGTACAAGTTTTCGTTTCCTTTAATCAAGTTTCAAAAACCTTGTGCAGTTTTTACTTTTCAAGAATACGTTTCCATTGTAAGAAAAAATAAAGAACATGCCATGAAAATCATCAGATTCTAGTTATGGTGCAGGCATTTAAGTGGAACGCTCAACAAAGTCTCCACGTGACATTATTTTTTTGAAACATATATATATATTAAGGCAAGGATGTTCAGAAAGGACTAGTGTAAATGATAGCCGTTAAGATTATGGAGTGTGTTTGTTGTGGGAGGGGCTCCTAGCATTCTGAGAGATTTTAAAGATGATTTTAAAGATGATTTTAAAGAGGATTTTCGAGAGGATTTTCGAGATGATTTTTAAGATGATTTTAGAGAGGATTTTCAGGATGATTTTAAAGATGATTTTAAAAAATGATTTTAAAGATGAGCTTTAAAGTGACTTACACTCGTTGGTGCTCGGCATATTTGCCACTGAATGAAAAGCTCTCGTTGGGTAAGCAGGATCCTGATGGTGGGAATTAGTTTAAAAGATAAGATAGATTATTGATCTGTTGTCTGTTAGCCATGATCGATTCTTGACCCAGGAAAACCCCGAGTCTGAACTGACAACTGCATAGCACTCAAGAGATTAAACCCGATGATAATAGCGTTTGTAAACAGAACATACAAACAAACACAAGACAAGTCTAAACTCAAACGAAACGACAAGAAAAACCCAAATTACAATTACTGGTACTTAGACTAATTTCTATTAGTTTAGACACATTTAGACTAATTTCTGTTAGTTTAGACAAATTTCTACTAATTTCTGTTAGTTTAAGCAAATGTCTACTAATTTCTGTTAGTTTAGACATATTTATATTAATTTCTGCTGGTATAGAGAAATTCAGATTAACTTCTGTTAGTTTTGTCACATTAAGACTAATTTCTGTTAGTTTAGAATAAATTTAGACTAATTTCTGTAAGTTTAGATTTAGACTAATTTTCTTAGTTTAGACAAATTTCTACTAATTTCTGTTAGTTAAGACAATCTTAGACTAATTTCTGTTAGTTTAGACAAATTTAGAATGATTGTGGCGAAAATTTAGGGAACCACTGTATTGTACAATTTAAACTAACAGGTACTCATGATCATCTAGCCTTCGGGAGTTGGTTTGCTTAGTTCTGAGAAAATTTCTTTTGTTACTTTTTTTCATTATCCATTTTTTTAAATTGTTTCAAAGCTCAAAAATATACTTTTATTTCAGCAATTTGTTTTGCAAAAATTATTTTAAAAATTTATATTTCCAATGTTTATCTTGACCCCCCCCCCCTTTTTTTTTTTTCTTAAAAGAATTATTGGCCGGGGGGGGGGGGGGACTTTATTAAATCTATCCGCTAAACCAGGGTGGGGCAACATGCGGCCCTTCGAAATGTTTAATTCGGCTTTCCAGCATTCCCAGAACTGCGTTCATGTTTCGAAAAAAATTATAAAATTTAAATGGGCATCTTTCAAATTTATAATCACATTTTAAAATTGTCGAACTATTTAAAATAGCAGCAAATCTAAAAATTATACCACTGCTTATTTGCGTACTGGACTAGGAATGGACTTTAAAAGCAAATGTTAAATGTTTATTAAGTAGACTCTATGCGGCCATGTGCCCAAAAGGCTGCCGACCCCTGAAACTAAACCCACCTCACACGACGGGAGTTTGCTATCCTTGCAGACAAGGCCGCTCCAGGCGACTCCGGCGGCAGAAGTGGAATTCAGGAAGGTGATGCTGCTGACGTAAAAACTGACGTACACCTGTCAATAATAGTGGTCAACAGGTCAGTTTTAAGGGTTTCTAGATTTCGCAGTTTGTCTTCATCGATCACCTCCAGCCATTAAGACATGATTTATCACGTGACATGTTTAACAGATATTCCAAAATAATAAGAACATATTACTCTTTTTTATTTTAATGAATGACGTAATCAGAGATCACCGTTATAGTTTTTAATATTTAATATGTACGATAGTTATCACTAAGCTATATAACAAAGGACTGATCCAATAGTATGCAAAAAATAAGATACCAAAGCTGTCGATACTAAAATTTTTGTATTTAATTATATAAATAAGTGCAAATATAAATACAAATTGGAGTACAGAAGCAAAAAAAAAAAAAAAAAAATAAACAAAAATACACCAAAGGGAAAAAACAAAAACAAAAAAAACAAAAACAAAGCTTTCGATAATAAAATTTTTGTATTTAATTATAAAAAAAAGTGAAAAAATAAAAAAAAATTGGAGTACAGAAGCAAAAAAAAAAAAAAAAAACTATACCAACTTACAGCAAGGGGAAAAGACACTACTCAAAATACCAATATTAATTTATACACACAAGAATATAACGTCTCGTTATGTCTATCTGCAACTCGCGGGCTTTATATAGGAATTTAATCCGAAAGTTCTAGTAAAGAAAATCTGGAAATTGCAGCACCTAATGGCATTCTTGAGAACAGATGGTAAGCGTTCGAATGTAAACAAACTTTTCCTCCGCCAACAAAACGGGGGCAGGGCTTAAGTGACGCTCGGCTACGTCAATATCAAGGTAGTTACTAGTAGACAAGTGGCTAAAAATAACTCTATCTTGAAGTTTAAAAATAAGCCAAGCCCTATGCTGTACAAGGCTATGTATGACACATATCATCAGAGATTGTACTTACATAATGTTGTGCTGACAGCAGCTGGAAGCAAGATGGTGAAACATTACCAATTTTAGGGGTGGCAGCAGAAGGAAGTAAGATGGTAATACAATACCTCCTTAAGTGGAGTTAGCAGCTGGGTGTAAGGTGGTAATACAATACCTCCTTAAGTGGTGACAGCAGCTGGATTTAAGATGGTAATACAATACCTCCTTAAGTGGAGACAGCAGCTGGATTTAAGATGGTAATACAATACCTCCTTAAGTGGAGACAGCAGCTGGATTTAAGATGGTAATACAATACCTCCTTAAGTGGGGACAGCAGCTGGATTTAAGATGGTAATACAATACCTCCTTAAGTGGAGACAGCAGCTGGGTGTAAGATGGTAATACATTACCTCCTTAAGTGGTGACAGCAGCTGGATGTATGCCTCATTTTGTGTGACTTCCAGGAGGACGCGCACACCACCGGGCAGCCTCATGCCGTTAAAGTTAATGAAGCGTGCCGTCATCTGATAGACCAGCGTGCACCTCGATTCATAAGCTGTGTGTCATCACAAACGAAAGTGCGGTCATATCATTATAGAAATCAAAAATTGTCGTTAAGTCATTGATTTATAAGATATAGTTGTATTTTTTTTTGTTTTTTTTTTTAAATTTTAAACGCTTTGTGTTGAAGACGAAATATTTAATCTCATTAAACAACAGGCTTAAGCATGAAAAAAAAATATTTAAAAAAATGCTTTTAACAAAAGTAACGAACAAAGTATTGAACGGGGCCAACCAAGCTGGCAGTGTTGTGTAATAATACAACATGAACTCTGTTGCTCTTACCGCAAGTCCCGAAAGTCTGTTTAAAGAAGAAGACAGTAAAATTAAGCATTAACTTAAACTGAAAAAAAAATGATTTGAATGAAAGTTGCGCCCTAAAATAGATCGATATCACAAGTTATGTTTTTGGTGGTTGTTATTTACAATGAAAAAAAAGCGATGTGTATGATTAACCAAAGACCTATGCTCAAAATGCATTGCCCCCCCCCCCCCGAGGGACGCCCAGGAAATTTAAAAATCTTTTTTTGTACAGTTAAAGTGTATGATTAACCAAAGACCTATGCTCAAAATGCATTGCCCCCCCCCCCCGAGAGACGCCCAGGAAATTTAAAAATATTTTTTTGTTCAGTTAATGTAGAGACAACGTCCATAAATATCGATAACATCTCGCCCACTATCGATCATGGCCCCAAACCTCATAAGTTGACACGCTACTCTCGATTCATCGGTGCAGTTAAAATTGGAGCGTTCGGCGCACGCACTAATTTTATTACGTTTAGCATTTTTGTCGATTCTTCATGGTATGCTCGATCCTATTCTGTGTACAAAATTGAGCCTGGGGGACGTTTAGTCGACCGAAAACGCTGTGTTTGAAGCGTTCGCAGACAACTCTCCCGGATGTTTGGGCGGGTTTGCTTACACTCCGGGGAAAAATGTGGCGTTACCACCCCCCACCGCCAAGGGAGTCTTTCGGTCGGGACGAAAACCTGGGACAAAACGGTAGCCTTGGAGCAGCTTTCTCGCGGCTGCATAGCTAAAATCATGGGCAAATGCATTGATCTAAATATTCCTATTTGAGAATCTAGGTCACATAAATGTTCACATCAAAGAACATCAGTTACATAAATGTCCATATTAGAGACCCTGAGTTACATACATGTCGCATCACATAATTCGGATCACATACATTTTCATATCAGAGAGCCTGAGTCACATTAATGTTCACATGGGTTGATCTGAACGAACTTACCGGAGATGTAGAGTGATCCATGAACTGTGGGGATCCCCGCATGGTTGCTGTCTGCTGATCTCGGCTTGGAGGGCATGATTGGGGAGATAACCTTCCATCTCGGCTTTGAGGGCACGGTTGGGGAGATAACCTGCCATCTCTGCCCATTCCTGACTTTAGATAGTATATTAAAAATAAAAGCGTTATTTAAAAAAAAAATAAGAATTTTATTTTTCAACTTAAAAAATCTATCAATTGACTTGTATTAAGAGATTTTTTTTTTAAATATTTTTTTAGGTTGCTTGATAAGGTTCTATTCAATACTTCGGTAGCGTCTTTTGCAGTTTCCTTCCACCTGAGCTGCATAACTTTTCACGAGGTCCTCCAAATCTGATCACGTCCTCCAGTGTTTTCTGGTCACGTCCTCCAGCGTTTTCTGGTCACGTCCTCCAGTGTTTTCTGGTCACGAAACCAGTGTTTTCTGGTCACGTCCGCCAGTGTTTTCTGGTCACGTCATCCAGTGTTTTCTGGTCACGTCCTCCAGTTCTTTCTGGTCACGTCATCCAGTGTTTTCTGGTCACGTCATCAAGTCGTCTCTGGTCACATCATCCAGTCGTCTCTGGTCACATCACCAAGTGGTCTCTGGTCACAGTGATCTTGTTACCTCTAGAATCTATTTTCATTGTTGAGTTTTCTCTAAGGAGTTTCGTGCTTACATTTCATAAAGATTAGCTAAGGGGGGAAATGGGAGGGGAGTGTTATTCATATTATTTTGTTGCTGGTACCATAGACCAATGGTCGTTAAACGCAATAGTCAAAAGAGCCAAAATTCAGTAACAGGAGAATTTTAAAAGTTTTGAGAGCATTTTTTTTTTTTCAAAAAAAAACTAAAGATCCATGTTTTTAGGAGTCAAAACCGATCTGTAGCCGGCTGGCCGAGCCGCAATCATCTGACTTAAGAGCCGCATGCGGCTCGCGAGCCACGATTTGCCGACCACTAGCATAGAAAATCGCGAGGCCGATAAACCCGTCAAGATGACTGGAGTCATCGCCAACAGCCCCAAACGGTTTCCCTTTCGTTGTAGCCAAACCAGACACTGGCTCGCAAAGATGACACCAGATGTTTGACGTTTGGATGCAGCCTCATCAAACATTAAATGTGTGTAAGCCATTCGATCATTTCATGTAGAATTAATGTTAAGCCTATTTGCCGAATCATTTCTAAGACAAGCGCGGGACGCGGTATAGAATTCAGCAGAGGTGCAGAACAATTTGGTGAATTCTTGGCGTCCTGTCAACCATTGGATTATAGGATGCAGCGAATCTGTCATTGGAACTTAAGATGAGATTTCATGTGATAGCAGATTCGATAATCTTCTAAATACCTTCCATGAAAACCATTACTCACCATTTCTTGGTAGACTTCGTTCGGGGGTAAGGATGAGCCGCTGTTGGGTTGCTGGGTAAAGAAATGTACATTTTAAGAGAAACCTCATCTACGTGATACACATTGATAAAAAAATATTTTGTTATTTCTTTAGTCCATGAAATCTGGTCCGAATTCAGTTTGTCTATCAGAGTATTTTAATGAATTGACGGAAATAATAAATCATATTAAAAAGCTATATCGAAAAATCATATTGATAAATTAAATTGGTAAATCCTATACAAAAATCAATTTGATAAATCATATTGAAAAAAACATATTGAAAAAACTTTTTCAAAAATCATTCTGATAAAAATCAAATTCATACATTATATTGATAAATCATATTAATAAATAATATTAGAAAAAAAACGTATTGTTAGATCATATTGACAAATTATTATTTGATGCTGCTGGCGACCTAAAATCAGGGTGAGATTGCGTTAATTTATCTACAAAGAATAACATTCAGATATTTTCTTAATTGGTCGTGCCGCCATTCTTAGTCTTAATACCCTTGACCAGCTCGTTTCAGATACTTCTACTCCCTTCGTGGCAGATAGGCCTAGGATGATTTGCTGTTTCCAAGATAGTCCCTGAAGTCTCAACTGCTGTGACACTTTACATTCTTATATTTCTTAGATACTAGTATGTTAATGTTTAAAAATAAATTTAAAGATAGTTAATTGACACAATAATGGATCTCAGAAGAATGAACTAACTCTTGTATTAATAAAAAAAACCTCTAACAACAAGATAGGCTATATTTAATATAATATAATATATATATATATATATAAATATATATATATATATATATATATATATATATATTTATTTATTTATTTATTTAGGCATTTTTA